CCGAATAAGTCTACCGCTCAACCCTGGAGCTTCTCACTGCTGTTTCAGCCACGCTACGAGGTGAGTTACCTCTCCCAACGCAGCTCGCCCCAGCTACTTCGATCGATAGGATGAGTAAAGTCGAATGAACCTATCGCTAGACCCTGCCTCGATACATGCGCATCACTGCCGCTCACCCGCCTACATACCGCATGACTCCCGATACTCACACCAACTAACCTACTAACCTGTCGCCGAAACCGACGTCGCCACCACGTTCCCAACGCCTAAAAACCCCGAACTGATACCCTCCCTCGCCCGCCTTTGTCAAGAACCGGGCGAGTCATCTCCTTCCTCGTCTGCTACTCCGACTCGTCGCCATCGCCCCGCGCACCTTGACTCTTCCGTAGTAACCATCCCGCCCCTCTACTCCCAAAACTGTCACCGCCATGTCATTCGCCTTGGGCAGACGCCCCGAATTCGCCCTTTACCCCGTCAAGAACGACCGAAAACCGTGCGAATACCTCGCTTCCTGGTGCGCTCCGCCCCGCCTTCCGTCACCTCCTTAATCGCGCTGACATCAACGAAGCCCCGCAGCATGCCTCCCGGCTGTTTGCGGTGCTTGACAGCCTCACTCGTTGCTGAGAAAAATCTCCAAGGAAAGAAACAGAGACCGGCCGATGGCTACCGTCTAAATATTCTCTTCGCCCACCCGACCTTCGTAAGTCGCGAAGCCCCTCCCCCTATTTTCTTTTCCAGTACCTGGCATCAAACGGCTCCAGGTTCGCTCCCCGACCTCCGGGCGTTATCCCTCTCCCCTTTTCCCGTACGGGGGCCAAACTGGTCTCCTCTGTATCTTCCCGATTCTGCCAAATGCCCCGAAGGACTTCTCCTAGTACTGCGTCCGCGGCCCCTCGCTTCCTAGACAGCCCCTTCGTGCCACCCTGTCTTACCGGCTTCGCACGGATCTGGCCCCCTTTCGACGCCGGGTCCGTAGTGTCTGCACCTGTCACGTGTCATGGCAACAAGGGCTCGACGCCCGCCCCTCCTCTTTGCTCCCGTACGTATCCGGCTCGGTCTGCGTCTGGGTCCTTCCCCGATCTCGTATGCATCATTCTCGCTCGGGGTCCATGCTAATTTTCTCCATATCGTTCCAATTTTAACGGATGTCCCGAAGGACTTGCGTGGCGCGCCACTCCTCCGCGCAGCTACTCGGCCACACAAACCTCTTCCCTTACCCTGTCTCCCATCCGGGTTCATCCCCGGAGCCCCCTTGTGGGCTTCACAGATCTCCTCCGCCTCACTCAGATTCTCTCTGGCGGCCGCGTCAGCAAGTTGACTAGTATTACGAAACTCACCTTTTCAACTTTTACCCCTCGTCTCCTCGGAGTTCGTGCGGCCAAAGGCCGCCTTACCTTTTGTACACGAACCTAACCCATGTTCTAGAGTTTATGCGTGCCAGCCGTGCGCGGGGTCATACAAAAATCTTTTCTGCATCGTCCCACTTACTACGGATGTCTCGAAGGACACAGCCCGGGCCGCGGAGTCAACCGGCCCCAGGCAACTCGGAATACTTGGCTCTACTCGCCAAGTTCCGTCATCTGGACCCAAGCGCCGGTTTGCATTCCAATAGTTCATGGGTGTACCCACCGCAGCTCCGCGCCTACATACGCGCGTGAAAAATAGTAGTAGCAAAAATTCGAAATAAATAAGTTATACGTAAATAGATATATATAACTCCGCGGCGTGCGGCAACCGGGCGGGAACCGCGGCCGCCATAACTGTAAAAGGCGAGAGGGATAGTCCCACGGGCCCATCAACCCCTCAAGCCTTTCGCCGCTCCCGCGCCGTCGTCCGCTGGCCTCGATCTCCGTACCTTCGCCGCAATAGTCCATCGCCGTAACCGATAGGGCTAAGCCCAAGCCTGGTATCAGCAGGTGCGGCCTCCCATACAAACGGTACCGCGCAGTGCCCCTGGCCAAGATACCGCCCTAACCACTCTTTTCAGCCCCCATTCGCACCTACGGCCCCTAGGTGCCTATGTCGGGCCACCGCCCCGCGCCGTGGCCATCCCATGCGCCTACCGGCACGCCAATCCTACAGTCGGTCGCGCGCGCGACCAAAAACGGACCTTCATCCCCTAGCCAATCTCGTGACTTTAGTATGGGTTGGCCGGCTACCCCGGCCGCCCACTCAATCAGAAAAATCACACGCGCGCCTTAAAATTGCGCGCCCACGTACTCCCTACCGGGACAAGGCACACTTTTGCCCACGTGCGGGCGACCATCGCATTTTCCCCCACGGGCACTCGAAATCCAGGCTAAACGAGCCTCCCTGTCACTTGCAGAAACCAGGGCGGATACCCTTGTAAGGGTATTCGCGCCGACAGCTTACTAGACCATATTAAGCGACGTCCCCGCCGCGTCGCCAAATCAAAAGCTATAGATTCCTTCACACTCCAAATGCTGACGAGATTATAACCAATCCGATTAGCTGACAGACTCAGGGTTGAGGCCTCCATCAAACCATGCCAACACAACTATATGCTGCCAGGGTTTCAACCTAGGTCCCCATTGTCCTGACACCAGGACGCCGGTGTATTACGCATCAATACTACAACATAAGTTCCAAAGGCCCTCAAACCATCCTCTTCCCCTTTCGTCCTAGACAATCGTCGGCCTCTCGTTGGGTGTCCCAGTTAGCCTCTTTCTCGTAAGCAGAGCCATAACTAGGGACGCGGGCTTCGAATGAGATCTACGAAGGTATTCTTTGCCTTCTTTCAGCAAGTTCCTCATAATCAAACAAAATAGACTTATATAAGTTTATAGCCTCTCTTGGCTTTTTCTGCAGTCTAGTACAGAAACGCCAGGTCCCCATCTGATCCCACCATAGCCTGGCTGATCGGGCCAGATCTACGGCCCACCACATTGTTATCTTTGGCGACGGTATCCTCCCGCTGGTTATACAACGACAGGTATGTCCCTGATAATCAATCAATCAGGGTCTCCAAAAGACTCGACTCGTATCCCGCGGAGTAATTTCCCTGAGGCGGGCAACTCCCCTTAAACTCTTACCTCGCGGGTTCGCAGCCAGGTTGTGCCGGCTTGCAGCCATCCACTAGGGGTTGCACCCAGGTGGCACTAAGCTTTACCGTTAGCTTGGTATTCCTTTAAATATATCTCAGAATTAGCACAGGTGGCCCGGCGGGTCATCACAAACAATTCACAGGCCGCTGCGGGACTATGCAGGGGTTTGAAGGCATTTACCGGCCCTCCTATAATAGGCACGGCATCCTTCACTCAATCACAAACAGTCTCCCCGCCGTATCCACAAGGCCGCGGCTCCTGACTTGATCAGAGCCAGCAGTCGCCCATCCTGAGGTATCTCTCGCCCTTTTCAAACATTTCAAGCAAACCTGGTTTCCTCTCGTCAGGCTTTATCAACACAAACAATGCTTTCCATACCAGTCAGTTTTTTACCCACCCTTACTTAGTAAAGGGTGCCTCTCACAGAACATCTCGCGGTCAGCCCCCTTTTGTTTGGGATGACGTTTCGTGCGGCCTCTTCCAAAACCATGAAGGGGCCCCAACAATAACACAACTCCCACCCTCCAGAACCATGAAGGGGGTCTTAATTATCAAACAACTTAAACTGAGGGACCATCTTCTGGGTCCTTGTACAACTTAGACAACGGTGTTTAGTATGACCAAGCATGCAAAGTTTTGAATCCATCAATCACGTAGGATTCTCATAATTTTTCACAAACAGGCTGCACTCCCCCTCCTTATACTCTGCCCTCTCGTCCGCTTGCAAGCAGACCGCACGAGTATACCGGAGGGTAGACAGCTTTACAGTTTAAACAGTCATGCCCACGAGATGCAACATGTACACCTCTCACACAAAGCCAATCATACATCGGGGTAAAGCCACACATGTGAGAGTGATAGTGGTCGTTACAAGACAAGTCCCATAGAATCTCAACTTATGATACACTCAGGGAGTAGAGTGCCTCCCTCAAGACTCAAACACAAATACTTAACTCAAACTCTGTCCATCTGAGCATGGATCCCGACCACACTATACACTCACGGAACACGCTCGGGGACACAGCAACTACCAAAAATCTAATGGGTGCCTAACCCTCTGTCTCACCCAACGAGGGAAAACTCACACCCAAGTCTCTCTCAAAACTCAAATAGTCTCTGTACCGCGAAACCAAAAATGGACTGAACAGTCTCGTGTATCCTACGACCGACCCTCATGTCCTAAGTCGTAGCCCATGAAAGAAAAGCTCAAGGAAACCATGATCGATTATGTATGTATAAGCAGACAGGGACTCATCCTACCACCCTTAAAGTAGGCACACGTCTAGGGCCCCCTCAGCCAACCAAGCATATATGCACCTCCAACCCGCCCCTTGTGTGCCAAATACTCTGGCCCTACTGACACATAGACAGACCAGTCCCGACTCACACAATTCCTCCTGGTCCTGCCTGTATAACTGGGCCCGGCCCCAATCTGGAGCTCGTTCCACTATCCTACCCTGTCTGTCATAGAACTTGCCGTCGACCTTTGCAACCCGCCCCTCGGCCTTGTCCTCGAGGTGTCGTGCCACCTGGCAGTCTTCTTCTTTCTTCCTCGGGAGCTCGATGCCGACGGCGTCCCCATGGTGTCGGTGGTCAACTTGTGACATAATGGTACCCCCATATGGCCCCGAGGTTCGAACTCCCCAGCCTCAGCATCCTCACCCCCTCGCACGACAGTGCTCACTGGCTCGTGGTCTGGTGTGCCCAACTCTCGGGACCCCTCCTCGTGCGGTCTCTCCGTCGCAACCACATCCCCACATAATCCTGACGGCTGAGGGCCTGCCATGGCAACCGGCTCACTCATAACCTCCTGTTGCTGCTGTCGTCCTGAGTCAGGTTCTCTTGAGTCCGTCTCTGTGGCCCACGAGCCCAGCTCCGCCCTCAACTCTCCCAGCCCTGGGGTGTCAAGCCTCTGAGGCCTCTCCTGTGGTGTACCTATCCCCGTGGCTACCGCCAGCTCATGCAAACGCGAGCCTCTCCTCTCCGTGGACATAGCCATAAGCGACTCCTGGACGCCACCCTCCTCCTAGGCCGAATCCAGAGGCACCTTCCCCATTGGCCCGGGCTGTCGAGGGGCCTCCACCGCTGCTCCCCGACTCGACGAAGCCCGCACCTCTTGGCCCTGGCCATCGGCACCGGCTCGTCCCGCCTGGCCAGCCTCCCAGGCTGCAGAGAGCCTATCTACAGCGGCCGCCATCTCCCCAAATCTCCTCTCCCACTCAACCTCTCTGGCCTGGCTCCTCGCCCTCTCCTCGGCAAGCTGAGTAGTCAGGTGCTCCACCTCCAACTCTCTGACCCTGAGCTGACCGCTGAGTAGACTATACCACTGGAAGGATGTAACTTCCGTCTCGCATATCCTCCTATCCATATGCTCAATCGCCCTCCTCGTCGTGGAGAACCCCAAGTCCCCCATCTCTCTCAGCTCACCCGCCTCCTCGTCCGCCTGTCCCGTCTCCCGTGACCTCTGGCGGGCCGCGTCCCTCTGGCTTTCGTACCTCGCCCACAACTCGTCGATCCGCTGCTCGCTCGTTTTGGGATCGACCGGCGTCGTCGACTCTATCCCTGCCGCCTCCATCTCAGCCTGCCTCACGTGTATTTCATCCAAACGAACTCGCACTCTGGCGGACTTCTCTTTGCGGGTTTCTCTTGAGGCTCTTTTCGCCTGCAGCCCCTGGCCCTCTGGAGTTGACGCCTCGGTACTCACCCTCTCGCTCGTGCATGGCAATGCTGGCGGTAACTCCGCTGGAGCAGGTTCCTCGATAACTGGGCTTTCGGTCACATGTGTGGCCGATGGCAAGTCAGGGAGTACCTCCATCCTCGCTCTCTCATACGCTCCCTGACCCTCCATCTCTGCCTCCTGCTTAGGCATAGCGGTGGCCTCAAGGAGAAACTCTGGAATCTCCTCACTATCTGGCTCAGGGACCCCCTCTGGCCAAAGCGGTCGCGCCGACTCCGGGGCTGGGCCACTTGGAGGGGTATCATCTCCAACTGTGATCACCTCCTCAATCTGAGGCCGTACCGGATCCTGCTGCTCGGCTGCCATCTCAGGATCCTGCGGCTCCCCTCGATCTCGTATGTCCGTCTCCATCTCGAGGTCCAGAGGCTCCTTTAACGACACATAGCGTGCCGGCTCAGTTGAGCCCTCTCCCAACCGTGAGGCCTCCCATCGAGATACGTCGAGATGAGTCGCTAGGCTCCAGAACGGCGTCTCTCCTGGTATGTCCAACTCCCGCCTTGGAGGCGATGGCGATGGCGAAGGCGACCGCAACTCCTTGCTCGTAATCCGTCGAAACTCAACTGTCCGGAGACCGCAAGCAGGGAACGACTCCTCTTCCGGTGCGGGCCCTACGGGCTCATCCTCTCGCTGTGCTGGGGCCCTCCTCCTCTCTCTGGTCAGCCCCACCTCTCTCGGCGCTCGTTCCCTTGGCCTCTTGCTTCGCCTCCGCCTCTCGACCCTGGGCTCGGGCCTCTCGCGCTCTGGCCGTCCGAACGCCCTCCTGAGCTGGGCCTGGCAGTCCTCCCAATCTCGAGCTCTCTCCCAGATCTGTCTGGCCACCGGCCTCTCTGCCCCCCTAGTCCAGATAAGTAGGGCCTGCACCCACTCCTCCCGCGCAATCCCCTGACTCAGCATATAATGCTCGTATGCGGGAATAAACTCCTCCACGTTCCCCTCCTCCAATCGAATGGGTATGCCATCACGTCCTCTAGGGGAAGCTCTCAACCTCTGCATCCCGACCTCCAAATCTGGCCAAGTCAGGGCCTCCTCACATATCTGAGCGACAGGCTCCTCAAACTGCCCTATACCCCTCAAGTGGTGAATCCTCTCCGCCACTGACCACCCTCTCTGTGCCGCATGATCCCGATACACGTCCAGGAAGAACTCTATATTATCGTCGTCGAACTCAGGCGTAGGCTCCCTCCTAGGCGGCTCATGCTGCTCGCCCCTTCCTGCTGCCCTCTGGGCCCCTTGCCATGGCCGTGTGTCCCTCCCGCCCCTCTACATGACTGCCTTCGAAAAGTCAGACCTGCACAACAGGCGAGAGACAGCAAACAGGCATACAACAGGGTCAGCAACTGAGCTAATTGGCTTAGGAAAAACCCACATACTCTCCACACTCATCCACCCCAATCACCCATCTATCTAATCACCTGACATGGGTAATACCCTGAGCAAGGCTCTATTTCTAACGAGGTCTCATGGTCCCTTACCTATTCCCTGGCCACGAACTTCTTCAGCCTTGTCCCTGATACCCAGTCCTGCCACCCCGCCCCATCCAGCTCTTCAATTTGGTAGGCCCCAAACTCGCCACACCGCACGATCCTATTGGGTCCCAGCCACCGTTTATCGAGTTTCTTAGACCATTGTTTTTCTAGCGAGGAGTCATACAGTAGCACCGCATCCCCAACTTTCAGTGGGTCCTTTCTTACCTGGGCCATCTGATCTCATCTCATCTTGTCTTCCATGCGGTTTCTCTCTACCTGACCAGCCTCTTCTCGCAACCTTTCCTCGACAGCTCTCACCTGCCGCGCCCGAATGTTGAGCAGTTTTTCAAAATACAGGTTCACTTTTAGGTCCTAGTGCCTCCACGTTGTCGCGCGCGGCGGTCCCACACCCAGACGCAGAGTAAATTTTTGTGTCGGACCTCACGGTCGTGTCACGCAGGAGTCTGTTGTTCACTTTGACGAAACACCACTCCGACCGTGCACGCGTGCTATACCTCTCGCGACTCCCTACGACAGGTTAGGGAACCCGCGAAGTACAACATACCTCCAGCTGCAGGAGCTGTCACCATCCCTTAGGTGGGCGTATCCTTGCTGAGCGAGTGACCCACATACAAAGGCTTTTATATGCAATCGCAGAGGTAGGTCAGCCGAGGGCGTTTTCTCGATCACCGTAGCATAGGCATACGCGCGGTAGAACGCCTTAAGACTGACCCGTATGTCGTGTTCCGAGGTGCTAACTCCTGAACCGACTATCTAATCAGGTCGACTTTCTCGGACAGTCTACCACGCTTAGCTAACCATGACAATGACTCTATGTTCATTCTATTGACCATATGAGAATATCAGGGTCAAGCCCTTAGCAATCTCTCACTCTTCTCAAAAAGAAGTCCCAGACAAAATGACTCCCTAAGTACCGACCAGCCTACGATCCCATTCACAAGTATATATATATGTATGTATGTAATATCAGGGGAACTAACTGAGCGATTGTCGTGTCTCTTTGCCTGAATTTATCAGACGATCTCAAACTCAGAAGACAGCACAAACGTCCAACACCTGTGCAGATGCATGACATCACATACACACATATAGATGCAGACACAAAATGCGTTACAAGCGTCAACCTTTAATCCATTCATAGCATGCCACTCACGCCCCAAACCCTTGAAAACAACATTTCTTCCTAACCTTGACTCCTTTTACCCCAGCCCCACACATTTTCGAAGACTCCTGAGTGTGATTTGGATAATTTAGGCATAAATACAGGGGGAAGATTTATCTGTTCCTTTCTTAGGTCTTATCTTGAGTGTGGGTGTCAAGCCATGGTGGAAGTTGAGTTGGAGTTCTACCGACCTATTATCCACAGATAACAAAATTTGTTGTTCCTTACGGATTTCTTCCGTAGTCTTCTCCAAGAGTGATGAACCTATAGACACAACACAGTCCAGAAGAAACTTAACATCTCTCTTCCTAGCTGAGATCTAGAACGTTGCTTCTAGACTCTGTGTCCTCTGTCTGAGTCCTACTATTCTTAACTAATTGTTTGGGCTGTTGCCCATTCCGCTTCAGGTAGTGAATAATAATTCACTCCCCTTTTACTGTCACGACAATTCTTCACATCCTTTTCACTATCTCATTCTTATTCCTTTTTGGGATTATCCTGTCCGAGTTTCTTTCCTTCTCCTAACACACACGGACACATCACCAATCCACCCTGCGAAAAAGAATCTCATCGAAGAAATCAGACAAATGGATAGTCTCTCTCTGAGGCAAGATCTCACTTATCCTTTCTCAGTAGAATCAGAGATAGCTAGTTAGGACTGAACAATATAGGTTGTGGAGAAAGTTAGCGGCGGTATGGCAAACCATTAAGGACATATCCATCTGCTACTGGAACTTGTTTAACGAAGGCAAATCTTGTGGGCCTTGGCCCTTGTGTGCCAAGCACATTTAGCGGTAGGCTTATCCTATGGCTAGCCACTGATAAGGCAGGTGTCTTTGAAACCTCACTACTCTTATATCAGTCTAGTCACTAATAAGGCAGGATTTCCCTACTACTCTTATCACTGGCTAGCCCTCAATAAAGCGGGTGTCCAATGATCCTTGCTATTCTTATCACTGACTAAGTGCTAGGATGTTTATTGATAAGGCAAGTATCCTTGAAACCTCACAACTCTTATATCAGATTAGTCACTGATAAGTCAGGATTCCCCTGCTACCCTTATCACTGGCTAGCCCTCAATAAGGCGGGTGTCCAAGGATCCTTGCTACTCTTACCACTGAATGAATGTTAGGTTGATCAATGATAGGGCAGGNCTTATCACTGGCTAGCCCTCAATAAGGCGGGTGTCCAAGGATCCTTGCTACTCTTACCACTGAATGAATGTTAGGTTGATCAATGATAGGGCAGGTGTCCTTGAAACCTCACTACTCTTTTATCAGACTAGTCACTGATAAGGCATGATTTCCCTGCTCCTCTTATCACTGGCTAGCCCTCAATAAGGCGGGTGTCCAAGGATCCTTGCTACTCTTACCACTGAANGTCACTGATAAGGCATGATTTCCCTGCTCCTCTTATCACTGGCTAGCCCTCAATAAGGCGGGTGTCCAAGGATCCTTGCTACTCTTACCACTGAAAAGAATGTTGGATTGGTTAATGATAAGGTAGGTGTCCTTGAAACCTCACTGGTCTTATATCAGACTAATCACTGATAAGGCAGGATTTCCCTGCTTCTCTTATCACTGGCTAACCCTCAATCAGGCAGGTGTCCAAGGATCCTGCTCTCACCACTGACCAAGCGTAAGGCTCATCGGAGTTAAGGCTGACTTTCCCTGCTATTCTTATCTCCACACAAGCCTTATCGATGAATCAAGTTATTGCTTTCGATGGCATTCGTGCCCCGAATCGTTGAAAGTTCGAGAACTTATGCTGGAGTCAGATGCATAATGAGAAATGATCAATGTGATCGACGGCAATAGATTATAGCAAGCTCAAATCAAAGGTACCCATCATCGTTTAGATGGAATATAGAGAGAATGACCGTGAGAGGTTTATACCTTGTATCCATACTTCCAATCAATGCCCACACAGCAAGATTGTTGTACCCAGAAGCAGTTAGTTTTCACCCAGCCAGCTCTGAGCACCATCATGGGTAATAGCTTGTGTGTCTTAAAACAACAACTGGGTAGGAGTAGCGTACCTTGTTGTTCCCTGCCTTCAGAGTTCCACCTGAACTCCGGCAGAGCTCCCGCAATCGCCCTGTCACTGATCATGTACAACTCATGCAATCGATTGCTGGCTCTTAGGGTTAGCTGAGGTAAGCGTTAACTCAACGGGGATCAGACCCTAATCAAGGCATGTATCTGAGAGGACCGTACAAAGACAAGTATGGAGGAGGATGGAGGAGGTAAGAGTCACCACACTTGTTGACGACTCTCCCCTGCTTTGCTGCCTCGCACTCTTTTCCTACCTCTGACTCCCACCCTAGCATGTGATCTCAAATGATATAAATAATAATAATAATAATAATAATAATAATAATAATAACAACACTGATAATAATAATAATACTATAATAATAATAATAATAATAATAATAATAGTAATAAAAAAAAAAAATAATAATAATAATAAGGAGAATAATAAACAATAATAGCAATAATAACCATAATAATAATAATTGCGAGGCATACGAGCGTGACGATATATAGAAACCAAGTTGCAAAATCACACAGATATTGGAGTAGAAATGTACATGCAGAGCGCAATAGCCCCTAGAATTCGTCAAAATGGGCCACCATAAAGAAGTAATGAACCAACACTCGTGCTCATGGCCCCTATCAACACACCTATCAAGGTGGCTTCTTTCTGCCTGAATCTGTGTCTCCTCTATGTACGTTACCGTGTATGTTACAGTCTGTACCTCACTGTGTATTTCCACGGTTCGTGTCACACTGGGTGCGTCACAGTTTGTATCTTGTTGTGTATGCTACAGCCTCTGTCACACTGTGTATACCTCGACAAAAGGAGATACTGACTCACAAAAGACTCAACCATAGACAAGGATTCACTCACAATGTGAAAGTGTTGGTGGTCACCAACTCATCCCCTTTGGATACATATATAAATACAAAATATGTTCCAACGAGTCAGACTTGCGACCCATCTCTCTCATCATAATTGTCTATCTTCAAATATCTATGTGTTTCCTTATATCATTCTAACCTTTAGTCTATCAAAACTTAAGGAAAGAACTAGCTCCTTTCCCAGACTGCATTATACTCTCTCATGTTCCTTCTTACCCAACAAAATTTCAATTTTTATCTAGGAGTTCATATCTTCACTTCTTTCTAAACTAGGAAGGTGCTATCCAACCCCAGTATCTAATGAAGTTCTACTCTGTCACCCTTGGATGTCCTGGGGATTGCCTGTCCAGCGCTGGCAACCAACCTCCCTTGTGCATCAACTCAGTCATCCCTGCCTTAATGTATCTGACAAAATCTCACAATCGCCCCTTAAGTGTCCTTCTTCGGCTACCCCTACGTCCTGCTCATATAGACAAACGCTTAGTAAAGTCTCTTATCACTTTACAGAGTCTCTCCTTCTTACTATATTCTTTCAGAAAGGTAATATTCAAACCATACCTTACTACTATTGCTAACTTCCAAACGCCTAAGACCATTCAAAAGTAGGTCATAATAGTACAATGCATTAGTTATAACAGTTGAATATTTAGATAGTTTTAGCAGCAAAGAGACAAGCCTAATAGGCATATGTATGCATTGGTGATGACGAAAACTTATGGTATCTGTTACGATCATAGGCAATAGTCATGCTGTAGTCAATAAAGTTTTAATGATAAATGCTTTAGGATGCAAAATAACGAGAGTACTACGTTCTACTCCCTGGGCTTTGACAGGAGTGCATTGTGTCAAGGGGTAGTGTAATCCCCTAAGGGATAACATCTTAGACTCCCGAGCCCCGCTCAAGGACCAAGCCTCACTGCTTCACCCTCCGATTCCAGTATCCGTTCCTTGTAGACTCTGGTCAATTAGCAGACAACCTCACCGCGCACGTTTCCAGGATGACATATCATTTCACGTGATGATGAACCCACTTGACACAAAGATAGTTGGGGAATCACCCCCTACCTTCTTGCGACATGCAGTAGTTGTCTCCATCATAGACCATAGTCTAACAAGGTTCAAACATTTTCCTCCTTCTCAGTAGTAATGTAGTCACCATTCCCCAAAGGGTCAGGTGACAACACCCCACTATGGACCAGGAACATAATTCCGGCGCGGGACTCACTACTACCTTAGAAGACCGATTTATAACTCCTTCAAGCCATCTTGTCAGGGAAAGGAAACTTAGGATTGTAACTCCCCTAAGTATAAACTCTACACATTGACCACCTCTTTGAGAGAATTTATTCTCCCAATGAGTCGGTCATTCCATTCACCCCCGATC